CCATCATCTTGATCATCATTTTCTTTCCATTTCCATGTCCAAAATGCATGAATCCCAACAATGGTATTAGAGCATGTTTAAATTCATGCATGCATGTAGCATTTTTGGTGAAAAATGGCTTGGTTTGGACATGAATATGTTTTTGCTTTAGATGCATGTTGAAGTTATTGTGTATTTTGAATACAAATGATGATGGATATGTGATATTCATGCTTATTAACATGCTTCTATGAAATTTTGATATTTAGAGTGCAAAATTTCTTGTTCTTGAAGTCATATGTAACATGCATGTTTGATTTATTGCATCTTGATGCATTTTTGTTAAATATGAATATGTCTCATTCATATGATACATGCATGTGTAATGTAAGCATATTTGATGCAAATTTGATGATTTTGAGAAGAGATGAATTCGGTCAAAACTGATTCAAATGAATAATATATTTTAAATGCATATTTGAAAGTGTTATATGTGATACAATAGTCTATAAATGCATTTGACTTAGATTGTATTGTGAATGCAAGTTGGTTGATTCATCTTTGAGTATAAATAGGTGTTTGATGCATAGATTTGCATTTTTAAATTTATTTGATTGAATGTGATGTGAGAGATTTTTTAATGTTATGGGTAATATAATATTTTTTATAAATATTATGATGATGAAATTATGCATGTACCCTTGGTTTAATCATGACATATTTTATACATTTATTGCATGAAATAATTAGGATATTGTATTCATGTGATGGATAATATAATGATACTATAGGTTTAAGGGTAGTAAAATTATGCATGTACCCTTTGTTCAATCATGGCATGTCTTTATGTATTACATGAAGTCCTTTATTTATAAATATTGTAACTTGCATAAATATTTATTAATGTGATGGATGAATATTAATTACGGGATGATCATGGGTGCATATTTATTTTTCCCAAAAATATTTGATATTTAGGCATGTAATATTCTTTCAATGGCTTATAATAATAATTAATTTTATTATTAGTTTGTTATTTGGGCCTGTGTGTCCTAAATTGGTTTATGTAATCGTACGACCGGATGGAGGATGGAGATCTGATCAATCACCAGATGAAAATCCGCGAGGAGTAATAGAATTAGGTGAATAGTTTACCTAATTAGGATGTAATTTCCAAAACTGCATGATCATCCGACCATGTTTTATATTTATATGGATGCATTTGAATTAATGTATGTGATAAATGTAAAAAAAAAAATTTAATCAAAGGTTAAACCTAATAATCTCCCTAACAAACAATATTAGATCCAAGCCTTCCACTATGGGCCAATTAATTCTTTGGAATAAAATTAGAGATCCCAAGATTTCTATTATGTGAGGGATGCTAATTTTAGGACATGGAATTAATTGTCTTAGTTCTTGGATAGAAGTTTTCATAATACCCAAGATTTCTATTATGTGAGGGTATAATGGGTTGGATTTAACTAGTCTAGGGTACCAAGATTTCTATTATGTGAGGTATCCAAAACTAGAGGCAAGAATTGAATCATACCTTATATAGTGATATAAAAGGAAATAGTTTCCTACTTGTTAAATTTAATTGACCAAGATTTCTAGTATGTGAGGTTTAATTAAATTTAATAAGAATTTGATTCCCCACTAGAAATTTATTCCAACGAAATTTCCAAATCATCATTTAGGGGAGTATGGGATTTGAATAAAATAGTGGGAGCTAATAAGATTAGCATTAAAGTGTTTGAATTTACAAGACACTAATAAAACTTATATTTTTCCTTGCAGTCTCTTTCAGTATTTTGTGATATTTAGTTAACGGAAATGAGCAATAACTTGCTTTTGAGGATTCTCGATAACAACATGCTGATCGGACCTAATTTTAATAATTGGTTAAGGAATTTGAGAATTATTCTCAATTCCGAAAAGGTTAGGTATGTCTTGGAAGCACCCTTTCCACTTTCTTTGTCTCATGATGCCACACAACAAGAAAATGAAGTTTTCGATAAGTGGCAGGAGGATGACTTACAAGCTCGAACCTACATGCTAGCATCAATGATGCTGAGCTCTAGGTTGAGCATGAAAAGATGGAAAGTGTGAATGAGATAATGATCCATTTACAAGAGTTGTATGATGAGAACTCAATGGTGAAGCAATACGAATTGTGTTTGACACTATTCACAATGAGGCTTAGGGAGGGAGTTGCCCTAGATGATCCTGTTATAAAAATGAGTAATATTATAGGGCAATTGCGTACACTTGAGATTGTGATGCCACACAGTCTTGAAGTGAATTTGATTCTGCAATCCCTTCCACCAAGTTTCAAGCCCTTCATCACAAATTATAATCTCAATAGGATTGAGCGCACTCTTGCAGAACTATCGAATGAGATTCAACAGTTCTATAGGCAGGGAAGAAAGGAAAATGGGCAAGAGGATGTTTTTGCAGAGTCTTCTAGTAAGACTAAGAAGAAGCAATTGAAGCAAAAGAAAGGTCCAAAAGTTGGACCAGGGAAAAAGCCTTTTAAGAAGGATGCTTCTAAGATTGAGAAGGGCAAAGAAAAGGTCAATGATAAAGGCCAATGTTTCCACTGCAAGAAATATGGACATTGCAAGAGGAATTGTCCTCTTTATATGAAGAGCTTGAAGAAAGCTCTAGAAGGTATGCTCCATTCTTATGTTATAGAATTTGAATTAAATGTTAGTTCAAATGATTATTCCTGGATATTAAATTCAGCTGCTACATCTCACATTTGTGTTTCATTGCAGGCACTGCGGAATAGTTTTGCACTGTTAAAAGGTAAAGTAATTTTGAAGATGGCAAATGGAGCAAAAGTTGCAGCCAAGGCAGTGGGGACTTGCCATTTGACATTGCCATCAAGACACATTTTGTATTTGTACAAAACTTTGTATTTTGCCAAAGCAACTAGAAATCTCATTTCTATTTCTGTTTTATGTAAATCTGGTTACAAAATATAGGTTAATGGAAATGAATGTCTAATTTATTTTGGAAATGAATTAGTTGGCAAAGCAATTAATACAAATGGTTTGTATGTTTTGGTACTGAATGATTATGACATAATGAATACCATTACAAATAAGAGATCTCGAAATGAAATTAATCCAAAATTACTTTGGCATCATTGATTAGGTCATATAGGAGATAAAAGGATAATTAGGTTAGAAGCAAATGAGCATTTAAGCCCATTGGGTTTAGAACCCTATCCAACTTGTGAATCCTGTTTTCAAGGAAAAATGACCAAATCATCCTTTAAGGGTAAAGGGGAAAGATCCAAAGAATTATTAGAGGTTGTACATTCAAATGTATGCAGACCATTTAATGAAATGGCTCAAGGAGGTTTTCAATATTTCATTACCTTTACCGATGATTATTCTAGGTACGGGTATTTGTATTTAATGAAATACAAATCTGAATCCTTTGAAAAGTTCAAAGGGTTTAAGTATGAAGTAGAGAAACAGACTAGAAAAAGTATTAAGTCTCTGCGATCAGATCGTGGTGGTAAATACTTAAGTACAAAATTTCGAGATTTTCTAAAAGAGAATGGTATAATATCCCAGTTGACTCCTTCGTATACGCCGTAACATAACGGTGTGTCTGAAATGAGGAACCGTACTTTATTGGATATGGTACGGTCGATGGTAAGTTTTACAGACTTGCCAACGTCACTATGGGGATTTTCCCTTGAATCGGCTGTGCATATTCTGAATAGCGTACCATCTAAATCTATTGAGATGACACCATATGAGATGTAGTATGGTAAACGTCCTAGTCTTAAATATATGACAATTTGGGGTTGTCCAGCTTATATCAAGATTGTCAAGACAGACAAGTTGGACGTTAAATCTGAGAAAGGTCAGTTTATAGGGTATCCCAAAAATAGTTTGGGATATTATTTTTATTTCCACACTGATCAACGAATTTCGATCAGTAGGAATGCACACTTTCTTGAGAAAGAGTTCTTAGAAGAGAGTGGTGCGGGAAGAAAAATTGTGCTCTAGGAAGAGTCCGGGGAGCCTCAGACCGAAAATACTCAAATGGGTGGTCCCTCTCAGGAAACATTAATACCTGAAACGGTTTTGACTCGTAAATCATCTAGAGTATCTCGACCTCCAGTATGATATGGGTTACTTCATGAAGAGATTTTTGAATCTATCATGATTGGAGAAGTCAGTCATGGGGATGATCTTAGAAGTTATGAAGAAGCGATATTAGATATCGATTATGGAAATTGGTTAGAAGCTATGAATTTTGAGATAGAATCCATGCATGCTAATCAAGTATGGACTCTCGTTGATCCTCCAGAAGGAATGGTTCTTATTGGATGTAAATGGATCTTTAAGAGAAAGATTGGCAAAGATGGAAATGTAGAGACCTACAAAGCAAGACTGGTTGTGAAAGGTTATACTTAAAAACAAGGGTTGGATTATCAGGAAACTTTCTCACCGGTCGCTATGCTTAAATCAATCACAATTATGCTAGCCATAGCTGCACACTATGATTATGAGATATGGCAACTGGATGTCAAAACAACATTCCTCAATGGATTTATTGAGGAAAATATCTACATGCAACAACCTATAGGTTTTGTATTTAGTTCTGAAAGAAATAAAGTGTGCAAGCTGCATAAATCCATTTACGGGTTAAAACAAGCTTCAAGAAGCTAGAACATTCGATTTGATGAAATAATCAAAATGTTCGATTTTATAAAGAATCCGGATGAACCCCGTGTTTATAAATGGACAAAGGATCATGCAATCATATTTCTCATACTGTTTGTAGATGACATACTATTGATGGGAAATGACATTGGGATGATGACTGAAGTTAAGTTTTGGTTATCCGGAACTTTTTCCATGACAGGTTTAGGAGAAGCGGCCTACATCATAGGAATTTATATCTATAGAGATAGAATAAAAGGACTAATGGGCTTATCCTAGAAGATGTACATAGAAAAAATGCTGAAACGTTTCGGCATGCAACACTCCAAAATGGGAATTTTGCCTTGTAGTCATGGAATTCATCTTTCAAAAGATATGAGTCCAAAGACTAATCAGGAGCATGAGCGAATGCGTGGAATACCCTATGCTTCAGCCGTAATGTACGCTATGCTATGTACTAGGCCTGATATTGCATATGTTGTGAGTGTTACAAGCAGATATCAGTTTGACCTAGGGGAAAAACACTGGTCAGCTGTTAAGACAATCCTTAAGTACTTAAGAAGAACTAAGGATTTAATACTAAGTTATGGAGGTTCAGAGTTGAAAATTGAAGGATACTCTAATTTTGATTTTCAATCATATGTGGATGATAGAAAGTCTACATTCGGGTTCATTTTCATACTCAATGGAGCAGTCAATTGGAAGAGTTCTAAACAATCAACTACTGCCGATTCCATAACTGAAGTTGAATACATTGCCGCTTTAGAAGCAGCAAAGGAAGTTGTCTAGATGCACAAGTTCATGACTGAACTTGGTGTGGTTCCAAACATGGTTTATCCGATAACCTTGTACTGTGACAATATTGGTGCTATTGCACAGGCAAAGGAGCCAAGAGCACACCAAAAGTCAAAACATATTCAACATAAATATCACATTTTGAGAGAATTTGTTGGAGCTGGAGAAATTTTGGTGCAGAAAACACCTTCAACAGAGAATGTAGCTGACCCATTCACTAAAGCGATGACACAAAAGCAGTTGGACTATCATCTTGAGAAGATGGGTATTAGATACCATAACGATTGGCTCTAGTGCAAGTGAGAGTTTTGTTAGTGTATGCCCTAGGAACCAATCGTGTTGTCGGTTTCAGGACATTATATCTTGTAAATGTATTATGAATAAAAGAAAGTGTTCTTATTTCACATGTTGATTTTCTGCTTCATTTATATTATATTATATTTAATATTACGTGTGAAATGTCCAGATGACACGGATCTTCAGAAGATCAAATCATCAAAGAATTCCCTACGCAAGTAATGTTAATTGGGCAATAACATTACATAGTAGGAATGCGGAATGTCTCCATTGAATATCATGTGATGGTAATAGTGTGGGTGATTATAAGAGATATGTCACTAAGGCATTAGCATGGATAAACGGTTAGTGAACTGTTTATCAAATATGATCGATTATTATGAATCACATGGATATGGTCAATGATGTATCGTTGGATCGTGCTAGTGTACCACTGATCCTTAGACCTGAGACATCACAGTTGGATTCAACATAGGATGCATATGGTTCATATGGTGTATAAGCACGAGACTAGTCATGTCTTGTATAATAAGCCGGTTTGGTCATATGTTATTCATGTGCAAGGACAAGTGATGGTCAAGATGGGATCCGTTAACTCAAAATAGTTTAATCTCAAGTTTCCAGACGAATGTCAATAATCATTGGAAAAGGGAAATCTCTGGCCAGAGTATAATAAATGTCAAATGAAAAGTAGTTTTATGTTGACGAGTTCCATTGTATCGATTGACAATTCGATTAAAGATTAAGTTAAAGGTTTCGACATACCATGAACCATTCTTAATCGGGATTAGATAACGGAGGGATTTGACTATATGGTACATACGATTATAATGGGTTTATTGGAGTTTACACTTCATTGTGGTTTAGGGGCTATGGAACATTGCTAGACGTCTACCATAATCAGTGGGAGTTTCGATTATAAAGAATTATAACGAAACATATCAAAATCAGATATTGGGCCCATAGCTAGATCACAGTGAACCAAAATGGTCACACATAAAACCAAGTTCAAGGAGAGAGAGCAATACATATCATTAATTAGATTAATGATGTTCGGATGTAAACGGTTGCATCCCAATTAATGTATTGTTGAGAAATAATTATTCATGAATAGCTAGCACTAACCAAGGGTAATAAGGATTTATTAAATATTATTATTGAATTGGATTCAATGATATTGGGGGCAAAATTGCATTGGTTTTATTCTAAAGGGTTAGAATATTTATTGGAATTAAAATTTGGTCTAATTATGAATTAACCATAAAACCAAGGACTTGACATAAATGTTTATTCTCAAGTTAATTTTAAATTGTTTGAGGCCTTCCCAAAACAATTTAAAATTACACTTTGTGCCCAAGGTATATAAATTAAGTTTTATACCATTTTCATAGAATAGAAACAAAAATCACTCTCTCATTTTCTCTCTCACTCTCTCGGCTCTCTCATCTTTGGCTTGGGTGGACTTCATTTCGAGTTTCTTCATTCTCTTTTGAAGAATCTAGACTCCAAGTTTCAACATCAAGCTTTTAATAGCAAAAGGAGTTGGTAGTTTTCTATCCTTTTCTTACATTAATATGTTAATGTTATAATGGTTTGTTTTCTACCTTATGTCCATCATCTTGATCATCATTTTCTCTCCATTTCCATGTCCAAAATGCATGAATCCCAACATATATTACTCACTGGTTCAAGCAATTCTACTATACTTTAGCTTGTTCAAGATCTGAACAACCAATTTGCCTTGAAAACTTTGGGTTCTATCACATATTTTCTTGGTTTAGAAGCCACCCAAACCGATAAAGGCATTCATCTAAAGCAGACAAATTACATATCAGATATACTTGCCAAAACCAAAATGCAGGATGCACATTCTTGTCCTACCCCTATGACTACTAGCACCAAACTCTTTACTGCAGACAGTGAATTGTTTCAGGATCCTAGTCTCTATCGAAGCACCATTGGGGCTCTCCAATACTTGACATTAACTAGGCTAGATATCAACTTTACCGTGAACAAATTGAGCCAGTTTCTTCAAGCTCCAACTGAGCATCAATGGCAAGCTTGTAAGTGGGTGTTACGATATATCAAAGGGACTTAGTTTCATGGTCTTCTCTTCAAGCCAACAGCCTCTTTGTGTGTTGAAAGCTATGCTGATGCAGATTAGGGTAGTAATCTAGATGATAGGAGATCCACAAGTGGTTATTACATCTATCTAAGTCCCAATTTGATTCAATGGAGTTCTAGAAAACAAAAGGTGGTTGCCTTTTCATCAACCGAGGCTGAATATAGAGCATTAGCTCAAACAACCACTGAATTGGCCTGGTTGGATAGTTTGTTCTCTGAATGGGTATCAAATTAAACTCTTCTCCTATCATTTGGTGTGATAATATTAGTGCTAGTGCATTAGCCGCTAATCCAGTTTTTCTTACAGGTCAAACTTTCTAAATTTCCAATAACTTTCTCTTGAACAATTATCAAATTAACTCCTAATTATTAACCCGAATTATCTCTAATCAGATTTAAGCAATTGGAGATCATTACGCTCTATGGAGTTTACCAAAACCTCATAAGTCGTCGTAACCTATCTCTAGCGTTCGCTCAACCTATGGTTTTACTACCATAGACAAAGTATCATCTCTCCATCTTAACCTAGTCCATTAGTTCATTCAATTTTTGGGCCTTTAAGAATCAAAAGCATTAGGCATAATAATAAAACTTAGGAAGAAATCTTAATAAAAATCAACACATAATCAAGAGATTGGGCTACATCTTAGCCTTAGAGAATAAATTTAGTTAATAATCAACATGAAAGAAACAATCATTTTTATTAAAAAAGAAACATGAGTTCAAGAAAGAAATAAGAAGACTTCTCTATATTGCAAATCAAAAGCTCCAGAAATTCTATCACTTTGATCTTCTCTTGCGTTAGCCTCCTCTAATTCTCCCCAAAGAATCCCCAAAATAATTCTAAAAGACTTCTATTTATATCCCACAAGGGTTAGGGTTTTATTTTCCTTAATTTTATTTAGTCTAGGACTATTAAACCCTATTTTCCAAATAAAAAACGGAAGAAAGATTTCCAGCTGTCCTGACTATGCCTCGGAACTGTGCTATAGCGTGCTTGATTCTGGACTAAGTGTGCTGCGGCACAGTGTTGTGGCATAGTGACAATTTCCTTTTCTTTAGTTCAAATCTCGCATCATTCCCCAACACTCCAGAGATAGTGATTTTTTAGCATGATAAAGATGGAATCTGGAGAAGTGGTAAACATATAAAATGTACCTATTTGAATCAGCTTTCCAATAGTTGAAGAATTGTCTTAATCCAAGATCTACAGCTCAAGATATTGTTAAAAAAACCAAGGCATGCTCAAACTAGAGCGTAATCTAGAGTCTCCTCTTTACTTCAAAGCCCCACAACTTCTTCAATTCAACTCCGATTCTTGATCCGTTTGTTTTTACTTGTCACTCATTCTGTTGCCGATATGATTCTTCATCTGAGCATAACATTTAGCACTAATAACGTGAAAAGCACTCAAACACACCTGTGATCCCATAAAAGATAATTGTGAAAACATTAAGCAACTTTACCAAATTAAACCTAATTTCCCACAAATAATCCCTATAAACCACTTAGTAAATGTATATTTTCAGCTCTTATCACAACACACCAATTGGGCCCAACGACAAGGGACTAAACTAAAAAGTTTATATCTTGTTGGGTTTGAACAAACAAGATTTGACTTCAAGGGGTAATTCTTAATTTACCAAAATGATTAGAATTAATTTTTGATTGATTTATGCATATTTTTGTGTTTGGATTTGCATGGTGTTTGGTGTATTTGCTTTTAGACCTAGTATTAGTTAATTTTGGGGTTTTGTAAATTCAAATTAAATAAGGCTTGCGTGCCTTGCATTTCTTTATATTCTATTGTAATTCTTTCTCTCATCTTACTCCCTCGCATGTAAATCGAAGTTTCTTATTATTTATGTAAAGTTAAATTAGAATTCATTTTAATTTAATGTAATGATCGAGAAGAAGAAGCGTTGGATTGAAGAAGGTGGATTTTTAAATTGATGATTCCTCTTTTATTTTCGATTACGTAGGTTGACGTACAAATTCCTCTTGGCTCAAGGAATTTGGTTTAGCTAAAGCAATGCACCAACATGTTTATCTTTATTGCTTAGTATGCATGTTAAGGGTGGATGTTATGACTATAACATATTAACCAAGATAATAAAATGATGAGTCCAAATACAAAACCCTTGTTAAACACACATAAATGTTTATGCTACATTTCTTGGAGAAAGAGAGGCGGATAAGAAACGCTAAAGAATAATTGTTAATTAATTAATTTAATTATCAAGAACATATCTTGTTAATAATGATCATAACATATTTTATTAAAAGAATTCTTTATGCATAAAACAAGCATATTTTAACTATAAAAGGGACAAATTATTTGAGAGACTCTTATATCATATATGAAAAACTAAAATTTAATTCTTAGGATTTTGATAAAATGGAAATCATAATCTTTCATTGATGTGTTGTGAATTATATACGTGACCCACTCAAAATAATATAAAAAATATAAAACTTGTACATTAGTAAGATGTGTAATCAGATGCGGGGACATAGCCAGGAAATTTAGAGAGTGGGTTCAAAATATTTAAATTGATAAATTTATAATAAAA